GGGGGGGGGGGGTAGTTCATTGAACCGGTGGACTGGCGTTGAATCCATCCCTCGCTGTGTGCAACACTGATGACAGATCTAGTAAGCAGCACATTCATTTACAGTAAAGGATATTCAAATTCTTACAGTTCCTCCAGGTCCTCTAGTTGATGGATAGCCTCCGGAACTTCCTCCAGGTAGTTGTTATTCAGCTCCCTGATACCAAGATAACGCAATGAGACTTTCCAGAAAAAGCAGAATCAGACTGGAATTTGAGATTATCTTACAGAACTCGGAGATTGCGTAGGCTGGAAAAGGCCTTTGAGTTGATCGATTTTATGAAATTGTTCTCCAAGATCCTGTGAGGGGGAAAAAAAAGCCAACCGAAATAATAACGGCGAAGGAAAGGAATAAAAAGAAGTTCGACCTGATTCGGACGAGGTCGTTGACCTGATTCCTAGCAGTCAGCGGATACAGAGGGAGTTAAGGACACAAAGGGGGAAAGGAGGAGTAGAAAGCTTGATGAAGCCTTGATGGGAATCAAGGAAAGAGGAGGGGAGAAGGATCCTCCTTTTCCTTTTCTCTTCCCATGGTGAGGAGTCAACGGAGTGAAATGATTTTTTTTCCTCTCTTCGAGGTTTATGTCCTTGAAGACGGGTTAATGGCCTGTGAGAGACATTGTCATTACAGGGGACCAAGACTTAATCAGAGGCGTTTCGGAGAGATAACTACTGCTTTCCATGCCGTACTTTGCCTTGCTCGTGTTTCACGAGAGAGACAGAGGATAACCAGACGCACACGGAGGAGTGACATGCTTCATTATTCAACGTGCCATTCACGAACCCAAATGGCTAGAATCCAAAAGGCCAAAACGGCAGATGTTCAAGAGGGCACCCGGGTATCCCCCAAGGAACAACGGGTTTCCCTTCTTCACAGGCGTTCAATTTTTTTTTTTCTTTTCCCTCTCCCTCCTTATTTCTATCCATATCTGATTTTCTTGCCTCCCACAAATTTCCGGGAATTACAAGAAAAAACTCACAAGACGATGAGGGACGTCATGTTAGCGAAGTCATCCGCGTGGATGGAGGTGATGAGGTTCCCACCCAAATTCCTACAAGGATGAAAATACGATTAGACGGGCCGGAAAGATGACTTTGGATAATCAAAGCTAAATTATTGTAATATGATTTCGATCACATTCGATTACACTGAAAATGAGAATCGAGAAAGAAAAACCCAGCCCAGCATTGTCTGATTCTTCCAGAGGCGTTAATTTCCTCCCAATCGAATACTGATCGTTGGGAACAGCAAAATACACGAGAGGAGGAGGAGGAGAAGCAGGAAAATCTCATATCTCCCCGTCTTCATATTTGCTTTCCCTGATGAGATGGTATGCGTTCTTTCTCTCTTTTTCCTTTCTCTCGTGTACATGAAGGAGATAAGACCCGCCCGTGTTCCTTCTGAGAAATCATTCTACATTCTTTCACGGTTCCCATTCAAAACCAGCTTCGGGAATGATGTCTCCATCTTCGGCATTGTCATAACTTCGCCAGTTTTGATTTAAGGCTTTGACGTATGATGAAGTGGTGTTTTCATCCAGCAAACTTTTTCTTAAACAAGCAAGAGGAATTCACTTTGGCCGAGTTGGTCTTGGAATCTCATCTGTTCTCTAGACAACGATATTCAGGGGAGCAAACACTTCCCGCACTCATTTCCGGACTCCTCGAGGGAAAGAGAAGGGACTCGAGTGTTGCAAGAAAGAGCGAAAAAAAAAATCCCGGAGAGATATATAGTACAGTAGACGGTATCTGGTAGGGGGAAAGAGATTCCTGGCACGGGACCCGCATGTGTAATGCGGAGGGTTGGTCATTAGGCCGTCCATGAGGATCTTTCATTCCGGGCATTGTGACCCTCCGAACCGAAACGGGGCAAGCCTCGATCCTTCCTTTTGTCCCTTGTTTCACACTCGAACGAGGAAGAACGCGAACCCAATCACTTTCTCTCAAGCGACTCGGATTGAATGGGGAAGCGAGTTCGTTACTCTTTTTGTGGAGAGACTCTATCGCACTCCTCTCCTGGCGTGACTAAACGACCGAGGCAGATACAGGAGGACACTCCAATTGTTATATTTATCAATTTTTTTTTTTACCCTATGGTGAGACTTACAGGGTGTGCAAATTAGTGAGTTTGCGAATTGCACGGGGGACAGAAGAGAAGACGTTGTTGGCAAGCCAAAGATGTTTGAGTCCGCGGAAGGCTTTCTCGTCGAATGCATCGTCTGGTAGGCTTCGAAGCTCATTCTGATCCAAATGCCTGGGTCCACCAATGCAAAAAAGACCACATTTCCTTACATCTTTAATCATCCCTGTGACGAGCACATTCTGCATTTAATATACTGACATGAAAGCTCGAGAAAAACCTGTTGTGATTTTTTCAGAGAGCAAAAGGAACCGACAGAGTGCTTTACAAGTCAAGTCACAGGTGGATGAAATGAAACAAGTCTACTCCGTAAACAACAGAATTTGGACCAGAATCCGAAATTGGGTTAGTTAGAATAGAAAAGTAACGCGGAATACTCTCTTGGAAACCTCTTCTCGAGAAGAAAAAGGCGAGAAAAGGGATGGAAAGAGAGAGTGCTGAATTTCTGTCATGGGAAAGACAGAGAGGGTTTCAGCATAATAGAAGAGGTTTTCCTTCTTTTCACATTTCATCTTTCTCACTCTCTATAATAAGGATCGATTCCGTTCTGTAGCGTCTGAGAACGCTGGGGTTCCCTTAGATTTTTTCTCCATCTCATCCTCTTTCTTTGAAAGAGGAACTTCCCTTCTAACTTGTCCTCCCAACTCCCAAATCGCATTCCATAAATAGGAGTTGCATGATGCATGAGAATGAATGACATACAGATTCTCGAGGGCTTGCATGCTCTTCAGGGCTTCCCAAGGCACTTCCGTCCAGTTGTTGTGTCGCAGTGACCTGCAAACCGGAATTAATACCCGTGTCAAAAAGTTACTTTTTTTTTAAATAAATGCAAGGAACTTCGTTAACGGCAGTAGAGCACTAAAATCCAATGCTTGGAATTTCGGGAGAGCAGCACACAATCCTGTGGTTACACCATAGACGGTAACTGAATCTCGAGACACGAAAGTCATTTTGTGTCTTCCGTAACACAAGACTCGGAAACATTAGACTTGGTAACACAAGACTGAGCGATGGTAAAGTGTGCAATTAAGCTCCCCGTCATAAGCTAAACACTCTTTGCAAGACTTACAAGGTCCGAAGAGTGAGGTTGAAGAAAGCACTCTTCCCGATCTTCTCAATATTATTGCCTCCCAGATGTCTGCACATAAAAAAAGACAAGCACCATTCGCATCAATTCGCATTAAACATATCCGCAATTAAGAAGAGACAAGAGTATTCAAGCTATTCCAAAGGATTTAAGGCATGTAAAAACTAACAATTCCTCGAGATGCTTGAACCGGCTGAAGGTGTAGTCCTCGAAATGCGTCAGGTTGTTTTCGCTCAGGTCCCTGAAAAACGAAAATGGGAAGAACGAGACATGATGTCTATGGCAGAGATAGGGTTGGCAAAAAAAAAATATGGGTAGGGGAAATGGGTAGGGTGTGCACTCCGTGAAAGAAGAAGAGTAGGGAAGCGAAGTGGAGTGAAATGCAGTGTTGAATGGCGTCGCCGAAGCGTAGGTCCTCCTACACTTTCACGCTGGTTTCCCTCCTCCTCCTTCCGACAAAGTATCGCGACCGCGCGGAATAAAACTTCTTTTACCCTTAGGATCAGTCGACGCAGTGCATCATGCTTCCAAGTAATAAGCAAAGGAGGGACGAAGGCAAATTCGTCAATTAAAACTCGGTCATGCTTCACGGAGAACCCCAAATGCCTCGAAGGAAAATCCATTCATCTTCTACCACGAATGAAGAATGCGACCGAACAACACTACATGATTGATAAATCTATTATTACATGGTCATCGGTTGGTAGTGACCGAATCCGGAATTTCCATGGCTGTCGAAACTCGAAAAGAAATAAAGTTTCGGTGAAAGAACATATGTCTGCCATGGTGACGAAATCGGCCTTGAGTGAAGGACCAGATGGAGAAGAGCGATATCGTATTCATCGGCCTACGTGAAAGAGGGGGAGAAAGAGAATGAGACCAAAAAAGGCCGAACAATGCCGCCTGACAATGCATTTTGTCCACCTGAAGTCCAATTGGAGAGCGGAACGCGCTCCCCTCTCTCTATAGAACTCCGAAACGAAAGGGTTCCTTATCCCCATGTATCTCCGCATGTATCTCTTGGTATTTACTAACCCCGAGGGTCTTCGTGTATTCTGGTTCATCATGAACTATTCATATGAACCTCGTGGCGGTCGGGAAAAAGCAAGAATCTGAGGAACAGAGCGCTCGATCGACGATCGATGGTAAGCACATATCACGGAATGCAACAAAGTGATCCAGAAATTATTATTTCATGGAATTTCCATTTCCTCCTTTCAATTCTCTGAGGCAAAATCTTGAATTTTTCATGTAATTTCCCATCCGGGTGAAATCAGGTCGGTGATTCGGCCTCATTCCATCCCTCAAGTCCCATTAGTACTTCAAAGCCTTCGGATAGGTCCCGTACCGTGTTCACATTTCCTTGTCTTTGAATTATTTACGGGAGATTACAGTGTACGGAGGTCAAAGACCTCATTCCCCATCAATTTAAAGCTTAATATCCTCGTCAATTAACCGAATGAGAATCATTATGCGCGAGCATGGTCCTCTTCATATCCGATGAAGAGAGGCCCTGGAAAATGAAAGAGCGAAGAAATGAGTCGTGGCAAAGTACATTGGTCTCCGAGGTGGCAAACATACCACTTTCATTTAACAAGGAGTCTTGCTACGTGGAAGGGAGTACCATTATACTGTCAGGGTTGGGAGTTTTTTTTGGTACATACCTCTATGCACTAATCGGTATTTTTTCATTGTCATTACTTGTCATTCTTGTAACGTTTTCTTTATTCCCAGGTGACACCTAGGATTGTAATTTCTCCGCTCTCCTTGATCATTAAGGCTCCATTAGAAGTTTAAAACCAGCTTTGCTAAAATTGTGTCTTTGGACGAAACCCGTCGCTAATGGTCCTTGAGGAGATAGAGAGGCGTCAACTTGCCCCCTAGATATTAGAGATGACCATTTCGAACGCTAGGCCTATGGGGTATGTATCTCCAAAGCAGATCCCGAGATACCGAAAGCCAGCTACACTAAAACAGGAATGAGGATGCGCTGCTTTAATCATACCTCTGAGGCATTTCTCTGACTGACATCAAGTGGCAAGGCTAGCCTTCCAAAAGAACGTCAATTTCAGACTGGGAATGTGCTCCGCATGTTTGTGCACGCTTCTGCCACTAATGCATCCATTCGCAGTATGTTCTGCATTAGCGACTCTTTTTACGAAAATCGGAGTATGGATACAACTGGAACTTTCTGCGAGCAGGATAAAACGGATAGATGCTATTGAGTGATTGGCTGAAAAGTTGGCGTCTATCACAGTCGGACAACAATTATAACAAAGACACAGAGAGAGGTCCAAATAGCTTTTCTATGAGGCCGCCATGACACTCTGCCAAGCCTCCACAGTCCACTGGGACCTCCCCAGTCCCTCAATCAGAACTCTGATTCAGAGGTGATTAGGAACGCGGCTCCCCACCCAGTGTCCTATCGAACACAGAAAGGAACAGGACGACAGAATGATAGGACGACGTCTCTTAAGTCCTCATAGCCCCTGACACCCAATGGCTGTCTGGATGTAGGAAGTGGAAGTTAATGATCAATAGGAGTTGGACAGAGAAAACAATTCCTGGGCCTGATTTCCTATGAATCCCCTCTGAAACCAGGTAAGGAACCAGTGGCATAGCGAGTGGGGGCGGGGGGGCGAAGTTTAGTTCTAACCCCACTAACTCTGAGGCCCGTTCCTCGCCTGTGCTAAACTTAAATCTAAATCTAAAAGCCGTCTAAAAGCAAAAAGTCTATTCTTCGCGCTGACCATTTAGACTAAGATTTAGCCTAAGATTTAGATTTAGATTTAGATTTAAGTTTAGCACAGGCGAGGAACAGGTCCCTGGTCTGAGTGCGTCCGCTCTCCTAACCCCCCCCTCCCCGGTGCCGAAGGGAAGTTACTAGCCCCCTACTTTGTTCCTCTTGACCCCTCCTTTGGCGAAACCCTGGCTACACCTCAGGAAGGAACCTCTGAAAACCTATACGATAATGGGCTTTTGATCTAATCTAGAATCTCTCTGAGATCGCAAGAGAAAAAAAAATCCTCTAATCTCATCGCTTACATTTCCCTTAAAATAAGTTCCCCATAGCCTCTAAAATCAGGAAGAAAATATCAGATTTGGCAACACTGTATACTGTTTCACGCTTGAGCATTTGCTGAGAAAAAAAAAACGGAATAGTATGGCCGAGACAAGAAGGCTGGCATGAGAATGAAGTAAAAAAAAAAAAAAAAGGAGAGAACAGGCATCGATTGCTGGGAGCCAGAGTGATAAGGGAGAGAGAGAAGGGGTATTGTGAAGACTTGCCCAGCTCTGAGTAAAGGGGAAGGGGGAAGGAAGACTTGCCCATCCAGAGAGGAGGGAGAGAGACAAAAAAAGAAGACATATATCGTGGGGATGGCGGAAGGAGCTGATTTTCTCCGTACACTATATGAGATGGGAGGCATTTTCATTCCTCCGGAAGTCAGATCTCTTCTTGTCACAATAGACGGGGGAGAGAAAAAAAAAACACTTGGGATCTTCTCCTCCGTCTCACAGGATGAGGGCTACATACCATACGCGGAATCCGGAGTTTCCATAAGATATGAAACCGTTTTTTCCACGCCTACTCAGACTTTTCCTTCCCCTTCGTAGTGGGCAGGGATTTCGGCATGATAGATGAGCGAAGCCCAGAGGGATGAAAGACTGGAGTGAAGAACCTAACCGGGTCAGGCAATATCAAGGCGGGAAGGAAGGAAGGAAGGAAGGATTTCCTGGCGAGGAGCCGAGTGTATTCTTGGCATTCCACGATGACCACCTCAACCGCTGCCAGAAACCGCTGCCAATCGTTTTCATTAAATCAGTTCATCAGTATTCAACGCACCCAACACGAATCCTTTCATGGAAAATCTTTTAACTGGCAACCAACAATGTACGGAGAATTTCTTCTGAATTCTCCGCGAGTACATGACCTCGTTATGATCAATTGTTGCCTTTTGCACGCAACTCTTTCCGTCTGGCGATGAAATCAGGTTTAGCGAAAATCATTCCCCCCAGACTCATGAGGAAGGAAGGAAGGAAGCGTCCTGCTGTGTCTCTGGCTAATGTGCTTCATGAGGGATAAATTATGGAGCTCCGGAGCTGGCCCAGTTCGTCCATCATCTCGAGAAAAAAGGAGATAGGAGAAAGAAAAAAGTTGTGTTGGGTGGGGAACAAACATTTGATTTGTCTGCAGAGTGGACGGGGCAGATGTCTTCATTCTCAGACTCCGTAATCGAGACCCATCAATATTTTTTTTCTCTTGATAAATCCTAATGGTCATTGCAGGCCCAGGGTGTGTTCTTCTCTGACAAACGAGGACTCGGCCACCCAAGTGGACTTATCTTTATTACGACGTATATTACCGTCTATGATAGAGACGGGATTTGATGACCACTTGCCCCCCTGTAATTGTTTGCACGCTAGGGGACATCAGTGGAAGGAAAGAAAAATCTCTCCTCTCTCTCTCTCTCTCTCTCTCTTCATTACAAGGGAAGCGGTGATTATCAGGGAGGGAGGTCAGGGAAGCTTCATCTTCATGCATGGACGTTATCTGAGACGAAAGGATGCTCTCCATATTCATGAACAGAGGGGAATCTTTGTATAATGTGTGTCTTCTCTAGCACGCAAAAAGGAAAAAAAAGGGACCAGGTCAAACGAAATTAAGCCCTTACTCTAACATTGATCGAGTGGCTCTGATTTATATTGTGGAAAATGCAAATCAGCCTCAACTTCTCCCACGAATCTTGACCCTCATACGTGACTGGGGACGATTTTTTTTTTTCCTGCTATGGGAATGGGGTTATTCTTCCCATTGAGAAGGGGAATGGAAACACATGTGAAAGGGAGACAGGAGAGGATATGACAAGAGCCGAATATTGGGGGCTTGTTGGAAATTCCCGGCATGTCGGACGCGCCAGAGGCATAGATCCCTGAGATCCCATCGATCCTCTCATTCTCAAAATGACCTGGACAAGGGAGAAGAAGAAAAAATAGAAAAAGGTCCTCAATCACAGCTGGTCCTCAGCCAAACTAATGGAACAAGAGAGGGTTGATTCAATCGAGAAAGGAGTCTGGGATGGAATATGTAGAAGAGGGAGAGAGAGAGGAGAAGCCGCAAAAAGGATGAAGAGAGAAGAAGGAGGTGATGAATGACTTTGCTCGACTTGTGGATCGAAGGAGAAGGCAAAGTTATTGATGGCTTCCCTGCAAATGAGCATTCATGAAGCAATATGGAGAGAGCGAGACCTGAAACCCTCCTCCATAGCCAAGAGCCTTCATTCCATCGAGTCGCTCTCAAATGACGTCAAGCACAGCTTGAATTTAAATAGGACCGTGATGCAGGAAACTGCCTAATGTTCAACCAAACCGAGAAACGAGGGTGGCACGTGGGCCAGCGCAGAAAGTCACGTAGTGAGAGAGAAAGAAGCCGAAAAAAAAGCGACATTACGGGTGTGAGAGGAAGAGGGTGTGATATTCTTGGCACCTTGGGAATGACACCTTCCCCTCGCCTGGCTTCTTTTAAAACACTGACACCTCCCTCTTTCGTCCCCATATTTTAGCATGAAATGGCTAGGAAGGGAAAGGAGTTAAGATATCGAGAGCACGTTTCTCACGTGATTTGCAAAATGCATTCGCTAAGTCGGGAATGATATCTCAAAGATAAAAAGGTCGATCTTTTTAGCATAAGGCAATGGAGAGGGAGAAACGGCTGAGTCATTAATGCAACGCTTCTCTACCTGTCCTCTTAATAACGTAATCTTGGCCCTCCTCCCAAATGCTCTTTCATATTTTTTTGCGCTCCTCTTTGTATTTTTTCCCCCTTCACTCGTTAAATCCAGTTTAATGGGACGTTAAAGCTTTTTCTAGCCATTAAGCCAGTTATCGTTATCGCCGTCTTCCCAAGGAACGAGACTTTTGAGTGTCAGCAAGCCGGGAATGAAAAGAAAAGACTTTGCTGCCCGGGGGCTAACCCTCTGGGGAAATGAAAACATTTTCTTCGAACGACTTTGATCCACCTACACAGATGAGGCAATGGATGAGACTGCATAAAAAAATCTCTTGT